ATTTATTTCATGGTATTGTAACAAGCAAACGTTGAATACATTTTTCATTCGTGTAAGAAGAATTATTTAACACGATAAATTTAGCTGTACTATGGTTATTTTTAATCTACGACCACAGGTCAACCTGATTTTTAATCCCTACGAAATTAATTTAACCACGAGTAAGTAACGAGAACGCTAAAACCTATGTTTCCATTGAAGAATATTGTAAAAACGTATAAATTGTTATATGCAATGTTATAACAAATTGTCGGAAGTATAAATTTTTAATAAAATTGTGAAAATTGATAAATTATACCGTGTTACGATATCGGAAATCTCCCGCGAAAATCTCCCGCGAAAATTTCCCGCCTGACCTAACCGACGATTTTGCTAATGACTTTGGGGAGAGGGTACCGCAGGTATATAAGGACCCGCCGATGTCCCGCGAAATCATTTACCCTTTATACTGGGCCCTAGACACTTCGCGGCGTATTTTGACCTGAAGGTTCTGAGATGTGAATAGAGTGGTCGGGGGCTACTAGCTAGTCTATGTCCACCCTGTACACACTCAGCCTTCTTGTAACACTTGTATACATTAGAATCAATTAGAATTTCTATTACTAATTATTAAACAAATTTTAACAATTACCGGCACTCGCTAGGCACGTAATATCAGACTTTAAATACTCGACTTCGAACTTCGGTTTAGTCATAATTCTATTAATGTTATAATAACGTATAATTTATTAATTTTCACAATTTTATTATTAATTTATACTTCCAAAAATTTGTTAAAACATTACATATTATTATTTATACATTTTTGCAAGTTTCTTTGACAAATAAGTACGTTTCAACGATCTTATTACTTTCTCGTTGTGAAATCAAGTTCGGAGGATTAAAAATCAGGTTGACCCTTGGTCGTAAATTTAAAATAGCCATAGTGAAGGTGAAATTATTATTTTAAATAAATGTTTCTATACGAATTAAGAATCTATTCAACGTTTGTTTGTTGCAATACCGTGAAATAAATTGTATTATATATTTTCTCAGTTTAGACTGAATTTAAAGTTCGTAAGGATTAGAAATCAGGTTGACCTGTGGTCGTAGATTAAAAATAGCCATAGTGAAGGTAAAATTATTACGTTAAATAATTGTTTTTATACGAATTAAATATTGATTCAACGTTTATTTGTTGCAATACCGTGAAATAAATTGTATTATATATTTTTTCTGTTTACACTAAATTTAAAGTTCTGTTTACATGTTATAACAATTAGAATGTAGACGTTTTGCCGTTTCACGGTTTTTCCTCTGTTAATTATGTGTTTATAAATCATTTCAAACTAAAGCAGCACCATGCCCACCCTTAATTAAACCGTCTCAGTAGTTTACCGTAATTAATAATCTATTTTCGGAATTTATACGAGAATTTTTGAATTTTAGTAAATACTAGAGTCAGTGCATCGCGTATTGAAATAATAGCTTATACAGATAATCTTTTGAAATTACTCTTAATTAGGGAAAATCTTGAATCTTGTATGGAAGATGAAGATTTTCAGGAAATATTTATTTTTCAACAATGAATTTTTGTTTTATCGATTAATAACGTACGAAATGATTTTTGGAAAATTTTCTTCGTTTGAACGTTCGTTTAAGGTTCGACTATGATTATCAAATCTCTCGAAACACCGTAGAATGTTCAATTTTAAAAGTAACTTCTTCAATTTTTGGATAATCTGGGTAACGTGTTAGTGTTGACGATACACTTTCGAGTATAGACGTTAAAGTTCATAGAGTGGTCGGGGGCTACTAGCTAGCCTATGTCCACCCTGTACACACTCAGCCTTCTTGTAACACTTGTATACATTAGAATCAATTAGAATTTCAATACAATAGACTGAATAACAATTCATTTTAACTAATACCTATTAGAAATTTTCCTTTTAAAACAAATATAAATCATTTTACCAATTACTGGTACTTGCTAGACATTTAATATCAGACTTTAAATATTCTCCTTTCGGTTCTTTTAAATACAATCAAATAATTTCTTCAATTATCGATACTGACTTGGAATACTCCGCTTCGAATAAAATATTTCGAAATTATTTTGAAGGTTTAGGGAAATAAACATTTGAATTTTAGTCATCGTTGTTCTTCAGACTTGTCGAATAGGATATTGAAATTGAGAGGTTAAGAGTTTGCTTTTTCGTTACAGCATAACAATCAATATGTACTTTTCTTCCAGCAATTGAAATTAATTTGAAATTTTTCATATATTTTCTCTGATATTGAATTTATTTTATGACTTGCTATTTTGTTTACTAATAATTTACCATCCAAGGAATTTGCATGAATTGCATGTTAAGAGGTTAGTTGATTTATTATTGTATATTGTGAGCTGATTTGGAACGAGTGCACTATGCCCACCCTAAATTAAACCGTCTCAGTTGTTTACCGTAATTAATAATCTATTTTCGGAATTTATACGAGAATTTTTGAATTTTAGTAAATACTAGAGTTAGTGCATCGCGTATTGAAATAATAGCTTCATCCCTAGTTCGTTTATTATTGAATATTTTTACGCGTTTAACTTATACTTCTCCCCAAATCTCGTCGCGTATTTTATTCAAATTTTCTTATATTCTAGAATCGAAATAGAAATGAATTGCGTTTTTTCTTTTGATTCCTTCAATTTTTCACTCTCATTCTACGAAAGCTTACTTCAATAATAATATTGAAAATTTTTCTGGTGATTTGGTTTAGTAGTTAGTTGTGTTGTGTATTGCCAGCTCAAATATGAGCTGCTTAATGTATATGCTTAAAATGTATTTTCTTGTGGCCGCCTGACAGCAACCTGTAAATCTGGCGTGACAGTGAACGTGTTAATAAGTAAATGTTGTTCAAATTATGTCGTGTTTTATGTCATTTTCATCAGTGAAATCTCATCAATATGTTAAGAAAAATTTCGGGATAAAAAAACGTAAAATAAAAAAGTTGATATTTATATCGCTTGGTTGCCTCGACTCACGTTTCATGTTTATCTTTTAATCGCTGTCCTTGTGAACGTTCCTTGTGGCGAATATACTGTATATATTATTCACGCATGCACATATCGTGAAACTGTAGCTGTGTAGCTCGCAGATGCACGCTTCTCGTTTGATTTTTCTCCCAAGCTGAGCTGTCCGTTGTGTACTTGTATTCGGTGCACTAGCTTCTTGTATGCAGCGGCACTTAATTCACACGAACGAATATGCTAAGTACGTAAATTGATTCGAAATCCACGCACGATTGAAACCGCTTTATTCGAGGGAGCACTGAATCTTCTACAAACTATGATAGCACCGGTACAAACGTCATTCGTCGACGCACTCGTTCGTTCGGTAGGCCCGTAAACACTAACTGCGTACGTGAGGACTGCCCGATTTCTGCTCCCTGTTACACGAAACAGTTCTAGGAGAAATCCTAGGCGTGTGAGTGACCCTCAAGTATGTAACTTTGGCCTACTCAACCTCACGTCGCACAACATTGCGCGAGGCTCGCGATGTTTTTTGCTAGTGAAACATAAGAAACTCGAGCAAAACACAAGAAACTCGAGCCAGAGTCGTTATTCGAGCCAGAGTCGTTGTCTGGATTACATCGAACTAAATACGAAGATACGTGTCATTTTCAAACTAAAACTATCGCGAGTTGCTCTCGAGGGTATCTCTCGCGAGTGGACACTGCCCCTGAGCTTGACAGTCCGAGAGCATAGCTCAACTGTCTGAGAGTAAACGTGTCGAGACTTGCTCTCGTATGGATACGTAATGATACTACTGTGGAACAGTTGCTTTGGAAAGACGAAGTAGTTTGGTATTCTTGAGAGAACTCACGTGCGAGAAAAAATGTCAGGAAAAAAAGATTGATCGAGAAATGAGACACGCATCTCGTTTGATTTTTCTCCCAAGCTGAGCTGTTCGTTGTGTACTTGAATTCGGTGCACTGACTTCTTGTATGCAGCTGCACTTAATTCACACGAACGAATATGCTAAGTACGTAAATTGATTCGAAATCCACGCACGATTGAAACCGCTTTATTCGAGGGAGCACTGAATCTTCTACAAACTATGATAGCACGGTACAAACGTCGTTCGTCGACGCACTCATCCGGTAAGCCTCTAGACAGCAACTGCGTACGTGACGATTTGCCCGATTTCTGCTCCCTGGCACGCAGCATTCTGGGAAAAATCCTAGGCGTGTGAGTAACCCTCAATTATGTACTTGGGCCTAGCAACCTCATCTACCAAAACATTGCGCGAGACTCGCGATGTTTTTTGCTAGTGAAACATAAGAAACTCGAGCAAAACATAAGAAATTAAACCGAACATAAGAAATTCGAGCCAGAGTCGTTGTCTGCATTACATCGAACTAAACACGAACCTACGTACCATTTAGAAAGTAAAACTATCGCGAGAGAGAGCGACTGCTCTCGTACTGTGGAACAGTTGCTTTGTGAAGACCAAGTAGTTTGGTATTCTTGAGAGAACTCTCGTGCGAGTAAAAAATGTCAGGAAAATAAATTAGTCGAGAAATGAAATTGAAAATGTTCTGGGAAAACTTCTAGGCCTTAGCTTCTTAGAACTCGTGATATTTCTTGCGAGCCAAACATAAGACACGCGAACCTGTGTCGCTGTACGTACATCGAGCCAAACATAAACCTTGCTGTCTGTTCGCGCACAGAAAAGAGTTAGCGAGAAAAGAATTTTCTGATTTTATATTACTTTTATTGGCAAAACCGAGAACAAACGTCACACACGTGGTCTTAATACAATACAATACGCCATACTTTTTTTCGCTCGACGCATGCGCGATCGCCGCTCGGCGGACTGTGAGCTGATTTGGAACGAGTGCACTATGCCCTCCCTAAATTGAACCGTCTTAGTAGTTTACCGTAATTAATAATCTATTTTCGGAATATCGTAAAATTAAAAAAGTTGATATTTATATCGCTTGGTTGCCTCTTGGTTGTCTACGTTCGGCAAACTACAAGGACGGGTGCGAGGCTCGAAAACGTAGTCCCTGACTCTACGAGTGTCAGGTTTAGCTTCCTTGTGGTCTGACACTTGTGGAGAATATACTGTATTGCGAAATATAATACATGCTTAAACTGGCAACTTAAAAATGTCGAGCGTGTCTCGACATAGGAGTACCTGTGAATAAAATTAACGTCGAGTCACACTCGACATAGGAGTGCAAATGGTTAAAATTGCATTTATTGCATTAAGAGACTTGCATTTATTCGTTATTAAGGTGTGCTTTCTATAACTTAAATTTACAAGAAATGGGATCTGTGAGTTTGTTCTAGTTCCTAGAATGTTTACTACGATTTCTGGTTAGATGGGTGATTCAATTATCATTGCAACTGAGAATGTTCTTAGGTTGTCGTTACAAATCTAACTTCAACCAGCAGTATCAAGTCATCTTGAAATTTTCCGCGGTTTTATGTCGTTCATTTCGAAAAAAACACAATACTACCGAAATTGAACATGCTTATTCGAAAAAATTTCCATAATGTTCCATAGATTTTTGCTAACGTGTTACTACTTCCGCGCACATAAAAATCCGAATCTCTAGGAAACTGCTGAAAGGCTAACTGTAAAATACTTGTACGTTATTCGTCGACGTTGAATCTTCCCGACACTTCGTGACACTCTACAGAATTTCGTCTCCACGCTCTTTAAATCAATTGTTCCACGATATCGGCTTTATCGTTGGCGGGACTATACGTAGCAGTGATATCGTCGTAAAAGAATTTATTATAGAGTAGTTGGAAAGTTGTGCGAGGAATAGTGCTAAGTAAATTTCGCGGTAGGATCCCACATAATGGCCCGGAAAGCCACTTCCTTCTGAACTGTTCGCAATAAAGAAACTTCCGTATAATAGCGGCAATTTTGATAAGTAATTTCTGTAATTTACAAAACGTTCCGGCTGGGTAAATCAGTCAACGTTTCGCGTGATTCGGGAAGAAGGAACATTGATGGAAATGGCATTCGAAACGATAATCAAGATCGACATACCCGATTCACGTAGCACAAAATGGACGATAACGTTTCGTTCACCATCCAATTGGATTGATCGATAAAGCTGGCCGACTTGCACGATATCCCTCTCGAGTAGAGAGCGAGGTAAGGCGGGTTCGATTTCACCGGGTTCACAAAAGTGGAACGAAAAATGGGAAAAGTCCAAAGTAAATTTCGCTGTCGAGATTCGCCCTAAAATGGCTAGAGAAACGCGATATAAAAGCGGAGCAGAGCGATCTCTCCTTTCCGCGCGAGCCTTCCCTATCGTCCCGTTTCCCCTCCCCTTATTTGCCAACCACGTCCTTATTCCTCGAACGATTCAGCTGTTGTACTTGGTGTTTGTCTTGCGATATTCTATTCTGAAACCCAGAATTCGACTTTGTCGTCGTGCTACTACTTGTAGAAAAATCTTCGACGGTTACACACATCTTCCTTTTCTTCGTTCGTGTTATGCTTCAACTTTTCGAACTGAATTAATCCATCTATTCTTCATCCCGCACGAGATTCCCGAGGGAGTAAAAAAATCAATAAAACATTATTCCACCGAGGTTTCCGTCAGAAATGCCTGCTGTGACGTTTGCAACACAATATTGATACAAGACGTTTCTTCCGAGTCTTCTTCAACGATCACGAAGAGAGAAATTCCAACGAGGCGCGCCAACTTTCCGCGCCAGTCCCAACAGTCGTACACTTCGCGAGCACACACACATCCGGCAGCGGTGTTTTCACGTTGGAAAATGTGTCTCGTGGTCTCTTCTCCCTTTTGTTTATACATTTCGGTCTCTTTGTCATCGCGGAAGCGGCAAGTTTCAACGCGCGATCCTCACCTACCCCAATACTCTTCCTCCGCTGCCATCCTTATTTAGAAGTTACCGCGGTTCCATTCACTCCGGGGACTTGAACATTCCTCAGCGCAGAGTTCTGGGTAACTGTGATTATGAGAATCGTTCTAATGAACGCTCGAAGCATAAACTACTCCACGTACAAGGAGAAAAAGAGAAAAGGAAGAGAAAACGTCAGGTTGTTTTCGTATTTAATTAACGAATCAATGGGAACCAATGAGGAAAAGGACGTGTCTCCGGGGAACCAGTTGAGATATTAACGTGAAGCCTGGATCTGAAACGACTGGTATTGAAGTAAGGATGGAAAATTAGCTCGTTCAACAGGCTACAACAGAGCGCAGAAGCCTTCGGTGTAACTACGCTTCAAGTTGACAGATGACACGTTAATTTCGAGGAGGAACTGGAAGTTCGAGCAGTCAGAAACTCGACAGAGTCGGGCGGGGGCCGCGTGTTTCGTGCTAGTTGCGTGCCTTTGTGGACAAAATTGCCTTTGACAGAGTGTTAGAAACTTCTTTCGTCCTGGAGGTGAGTGAAACGCCATTTCCCGCCTTGTAAATGGAGGAAAAATTATTCGAAGAAATTTACTCTGAAACAAATTCGTAAGTTTGCTGATAGATACACATTTTTTTCACTCGGTCGAGCGCGACGAAATCAGGGAGATCCTGAGAGCTAGGAAGTGGCAAGAAATAACGGACGATGATGTTTATTCAGATGAAAGTGGACTTGGTGTCTTTGTTGCTCCTGTTGACGATAGGACGGATCCAGGGAAGCGAAAACGAGCAACTTCGAGAGAAGAGGCAAGCATTGTTTCCCCCGCCGCTTGTTTATCCTTTCGGTGGTACTTTCAAGGTATTTATTTATTCTCGGACGAAGTCGCGATAAAACTTAATAATCTCTCCCCGCTGTCCTTTCTCCTCGTCTCGAAGATCCCTCTTAGAGGGTTAATTTGTGCACGCGAGAACAAGTGAAATCACGCTCGAGTGGGAAAAATTCGCGAATGACGATTATCGGTCGGGTAGGTATTGATAATTATATCTCCGGTGGATCGACGCGCGGTTCCCGCGTTACGATAATGGCCCGCGGTTATAATTTATTCGGTCGGCCGGTATCTGGAAACCATATAGAAGATAAACAGGCCCATTTAAACGTGGAAGCGTGAATGAAAAATATGGTGGAGCGCGCAACGGCCACGTGCCACCCTTTTATTTCGCGTCCGTCTTGTCACATAAATATCGCCGGACGCTCGTAGATCTTGCATATTCAAATTTCACTGGGTACCTTCTGAACGTGTGTGCGGGCGATTCCACCGGGATGTTTCATTCCGACGACGACACCTTGTTAATTAATGCGAGCATCGAACGAGAAATTATCGCGTCGTTAATTTTATTGCACATCTTCTTCGTTTTATCAATTTTCGGGGGTGAAATATAAATGTACGTCGGACGGTAGCACTTCTCACGATAAAGTTAGCGGAACTAGCTCGTAATTCGGGAGCTCTATTTATTGGGATATCTTCCTAACGTAAAAGAGTTATGCACAGGGTGTCCCACTTATAACGAGCACCTAAATTGTCTCCCTTGCTGTTGAAAATAAAGAATAACATTGTCGATCAGGAAAAGCAACGTGTCGAATATGTTTTTTTTCAGATTTAGTGTATAGATTTTAGTAAAATTCAGTAGGTTTCAATAGATTTTTGCAGATTTTAGTAAAATTCAATGGATTTCAATAGATTTTTTGTTGATTTTAGTCCAATTCAGTGGGTTTTAATAGATTTTTGTAGATTTTAGTAAAATTTAGTAGATTTCAATAGGTTTTTTGTACATTTTAGTAAAATTTAGTAGATTTCAATAGATTTTTGTAGATTTCAGTAAAATTCAGCGGATTTCAATAGATTTTTGTAAATTTTAATTAAATTCAGTAGATTTCGATAGATTTTTGTAGATTTTAGTAAAATTTAGTAGATTTCAATAGGTTTTTTGTACATTTTAGTAAAATTTAGTAGATTTCAATAGATTTTTGTAGATTTCAGTAAAATTCAGCGGATTTCAATAGATTTTTGTAAATTTTAATTAAATTCAGTAGATTTCGATAGATTTTTGTATATCTTAGTAAAATTCAGTAGATTTCAAAAGGTTTTTTGTAGATTTTAGTTAAATTCAGTAGATTTCGGTAGATTTTTATAGATCTTAGTTAAATTCAGTAGATTTCGATAGATTTTTATAGATCTTAGTAAAATTCAGTGGATTTCAATAGATTTTTGTAAATTTTAGATAAATTCAGTAGATTTCGATAGATTTTTGTAGATTTTAGTAAAATTCAGTGGGTTTCAATAAATTTTTGTAGATTTTAGTAAACGTTAATAGAATACAGTAGATTTTAATCGAATTCCGTAAATTTTGGTAGAACTTAGTAGATTACAGTAAATTTTAGCAGAATACAGTAGATTTCAATTGAATTCATTAGAACACACTAGATTTTAATAGAATTCGGCAGATTTCAGTAGATTTTGCTAAATTCTGGTAGACTTCGACGAAGTTCATTGGACTACAGTAAATTTCGGTGGAACTCGTTATGCTTCACATTCAGTAAGTGTCCTAATACCTACAAACTGGAGTGTACATTAAGACTTCGTTATTTCCCGATGAAAAGTTCCCCGTAAAAGTCCTCTTTTACGCTGTTGTTCGTGCAAACACAGCAAGTTTCAAAGAAACAGTCTACAGAGGTGAAAAAGAAAAGAGAGATAAAACAAAAAGTTCTTCGCTGTTTTCCTTTCCGCAATTAACATCTCGAATCACACTCCGTCAGACAGACGACTGCCGATCTCCTTTTCGGAGGAGGCCTCCTCTCCCGTGGACAGGCTGGGAATCAACGCTCGGAAACGGAATACAAACTAAACCGAATTTCTCCGGAGTTTGGTCCTGGGTAGTCTTACGTTAGTAACGCCGGGACTTAGGTATGAACGTGTTCGTCCTGGCGGAAGTAGCGACGGTGGAGAACTTTAAACCGAGGGAGTAGAACGTCTCATTCCCCTTCTCGAGACCGCGCTGATAATTAACTGCAGCTTTATCTACCCGACTTCTCTCAAATTTTCTAATTAAATCGGAAAACTCTTTCTGTAGTTTTCGCTCGTTTCCTCCCCTCCCCACCGAGCGAGCGAGCAAATGTCCTGATTGACTGTTTGCCCTGGCTTCTGTCAGCTTTCTGGGCTCCCTCAATTACTCGCGCAACTCTCCTCTCTCTCGTAGAAAACGAGACTTCCGAAAACGCTACCGTGAAATCGATACGCGACGACACTTCCTTCTTCCCCACTTTCGAATTATTCACCTACACGAGAAGTTTCACGACGCTTCTTCGTCCGTCCGTTTAAAATTCAATTTCCTCCTCGTTAAGATTTTGTCCCCCTCTGTTTGCGATTTTTATTTACATTTCCCAAGTATTCGCTGTATGCTCCAAATTGAACAGGAAGGTGGAAAAAACACAATATTTGATAAGCTCGCCAGGTCGCTGCACAGGAGTATACTAGTTTATAGGATCGACAGCCGTACGTACGTATGTGTACGATCGTCGCTGTTTCGCGGATGAAGTGTTTGATTAGTAGATTTTCAGGCAGACAGCAACGGTGGTAGTAAATATTTGGGCGTGTTCGCCTTGAGGAGGCGGGAAACTGGCGTGAAATAAAATTCACCCTCTCCCCCCGGTTTCTGGGTCAGTATGTATCTAAACACGCGAAGCTGCACTGCGTCAAAAGCGCAAGCTTCAAAGTGAGAGGAAAAAGGAAAACGTCGGCGGCGGCGTGGAGGAGGCGGAGGAGGAGGAGAACGAGCCAGTCTGTTGCAAAAGAGAGCCGACGACTTTGAATTACTTCCATGTCTTTGCTCTGAAGCCCCGGTGTATCTTATCAGCAGGACAATTATGAAGTTTCAGCACGTGTCGAGTCGCTTTTGTGCCGGGCACTCGTTCAACGAGCTTCCCCCCTCCGGAAAAACCAAGTTGAATTTATTTAACCCTTATGTCAATAGCCGGAATGTATAACGTTGTTCAATACCCGGGGTGTCCATTTCCAGAATTCGTCTAATAAACGCATCTTATCAGGGGTAAATCTTAATCTTACGAATTCGTGCAGGTTAATTGCTGTCAGGGGAGAAATTTTGAAACTTGTTTTCGAAATGTAGAAGCAGACGTATAATTTTAATTCGGACGGATATCGATTTTATAAATACACTTGGAGCGTTATTTATTCGTCTGGATCGCGATGGTTTTCGTGGAACCTCTCGACAAAGGGTGAAAGTTAGACGAGCCTCCACAAGTTAGAAGATTTTACTTCGGTGTGCATGAGACATAAAAATCTGCAAAAGAGGAAATGCACGTGAATCGTTGCCCGGAGAGAAAGCTTGAAACTTGTTTTCGAAATATACACATATTCATTAATATTGTATAGATAGGAGGATAAGTACATTTGCCTTGTCTCTCTTCGGAAGGCTAATAGTGCGATTTTTGCTGTTCGCTTGATTCCAGTTTCCGCTCGCTGGTTCATTTCGTTACGTCCGGCGCGGTTCAAAGACGAGACGGGTGGTCGAAGAAAAGGGGAGAAACTATTTTATCCAGTTCCTTTTCGACTTTTCTCCATCGATTCGTAAATTCTTTACACTTGCAAAAGTTCCTCCTAACAAATTCGGAAAAGAAGATTCTATCGCAGCGAGAGGAAAAAAGCTTCCTTTTTGCTCGGTACTCCTTTCTGGTAATTGTTTGTACAGTGCAGCGTGGCAGCACGCTTTATTTGCTCGCGATCTTTGAAACTTCGCGTAAATTTTCACGGTCCACCGAAGGACTCGAACATCGGGCTCGTCAGACGTTTCTTCCAGCTGGAGGTTTGCCTCTCGTCTTCGAACGTGACGCAGCGAACGAAGAGTAGAGGAGGGGAAAGGAATTCATGTTAGTTAAAGTTCGCCGCAATCTTCCCGATTGTAGCGTGAGCTGGTTGCTCGCGAATTTTAATAGCATCTGTCGCAGTCCTTTTACTCGGCCTATGCACCTTTGAAGACTATTTTTCTGCTCCCTAATTGCTGTCGTACGCGCGCCACGACTCAGTTCCGCGCAGAGCTGCATTGTTTTTGCAAACATTGCACCCTTCTCGGGGCGTCGAGGCGCAAACAAAGTGAAATATCGCGAAGCAGGAATCGTTTCGCTGCAACTTTCTTGCAGCACTCGTTCACAACTTCTCCTGATGTTCTCGTTTATTTATTTTTTTTTTCTTACCCGTACCAAGACGAGTTTTATTTTTTCACACTTTTGTCGGGTTCGCGCAAATTCGAGGTTTATTCGAATTTCTCTCACACGCCGATTGAAGGGAGTATTCTCGTGTTTGGGGACCAGAAAAATCGATTTTCTTTTTTCACGTATTAAATTTCTATTAGGTCTATGCAGAAGTTTCCATCGTATCTTTTTGCAGTATTTACTTTTTTTTATATTTGTAGTGAGTCGAAGAATTGATCGTATACCCTTCAAAAAAGAGTAATTAGGATTTCCCGAGTTTGGGAAATTAGGATTAGTTTGCTAGATGGCGTGTACAAGAAATTTTTAAACAATTGAAATTTGTGGAAATCGCGAAGAAAAATACGGTTTGTAGATTTATGTTAATTATACACGTGCAGAAAATCTCATTGAAATCGGTTGATGGAGAAACAAGCGACAGGCATCGAAAAATGCAAGAATCTTCAGATTTATTATAGTTACATGCCGAAAGTCGTGAGAAACAGCGATTTTCACAATTTTTAATAGTTTGTAGCTCATAGCGGCATTGACCAATTTCGATGAAATTTTCAGCATGTGTATAATTGACATAAATCTACAAACCGTATCTCTTAAATTTTCATTACAAGCTCAGATAGAAAAGTTGTAAACAGTGACCTTTACGATTTTCTTCACGATTTCCACAATTTTCAATTTTTTCAAAATTTGTTGTACACGTCATCTAGTAAACTAATCCAAATTTCCCAAAGAAGCTCAAGTCATTTGGTCCAATTTTAAAAAATTTATTCTTTTTTCAATTCTTTGACTCACTGTCCAATGATCGTCATAAAAATACTAACTGTATAATATTAATACTATATTAGTATTGCATACCAACTGTGAAAATTTAAATACTCCGGTCGAATTACAAGCGATGGAAACGTTTGCATAAACCTGATACAATTCTTCCAGAAGAAGTACATATGTAAATCTGGTACCGAATTAGCCTATGGAAATTTGTTACCCTCACGAAGGCAAATTTTGTTTTTTTAAAATTCCCCCTGTTCCTCTACAATGTTTCTCATGTTTTTGAATACACTTTTACATTCACATATGTGTATTAGTATATTTCCCACTTTTATTTTACATTATTTCACACACTCGATCATCCATGGTATCGAATTTCCATTCGAATTAGCCTACGAAAGTTCCCTTTTACGAGCATTTTTATATTACAAATACCACTTCCGAAGAATTTCATGTTTCATAGATAAAAAAGGAAGCAGCTCGAGTATTACCGCGAAGTGGCTTCGTCGTTGAGCTTTCGGACCGAGGAGAATTCCTACGAATCGAATTCGACGTGCATCCGAACGCTTACACTTGTATATTTATTGCATTTCTGTCAAGCTAATCATCGGCTTCGCGATGCCTGTGCAACTCTCCGGCAGGATTTTGGTTTACGGCCAAAACATTCAGTTCCAATACATGTTGCCAGACAACGCGACCTTCTTCACAAACTTCTTCGAGAATTCGTCACGTGGTCGACGTAGAAGAGCTAGCTGGAACGAGAGAGCTCCTGTCTACGATATTCTGCAGCAAGAGCTAGACAGGTAAGTCTACCTCTCTGTCGTTATTAGAAGAAGTTCACACATCGTCGAATACAGATAACTCTCGTATAACACGGTTGTTAGATTCCTAAAAAATGACGTGTTATGCGAATCCCTGTTATATGAAACAAAGAACTAGTACATAAAAGGGGCGTTAGGTTCCAAAAATGAAAAGAAAACGTATTATTATATCTTTATAATTAAGAGAAATATCTTTATTAACCCTTATGTCAATAACCGGGTACCCTTTTGCATAATTCTCACTTAAAATGTTTGATCTTCCAGGTAAAAGATTGAAATATCCGGCCAGATCGTTGTTATTTCGCACACTTCCTATCCGTGTTTGCCTCAAGTTTAGAATTTTGAAACTACTAAAAGTGGACGATAAAGTAGACGACAATTGTAGTTATTGACATAAGGGTTAAAGCAATTTTCACCAAAAATATAACATATTAATATGTATTAAATAAGCTGCAAATTAATTCACAAAAATGGAAAACATAATTACCATTTCTTTAGAAAAGGCTAAATAATACTCAATTATTAATTTAATCTCCGAAAATTATTAATCTACGTATAATGTAGTAAAAAGAAAAACACAAGGTTTTAAAATGTACGTACTTAATACTCTACGTACAAAATGAATTTAAAATTCTATTAAATCTGAAAATTCTGCGGCCAAATTCGATACGACATCCAGGCTCGAATGAAAAATTTCAAATGAGATATCTTTTGCTCTTAAAAGGTTTTATTATGTTCAGTGTTATTCGGGGATTTCCCTAATTTCAAATGAAATATTTTTTGCTTTTAGAAGCTGTTATTATGTTCCATATTGTTCGGGTATTTCCCCATTTCTCGAACCGTGTTACACGGGGGTTACCTGTAATCGTTCATTCGCAGCCTCTCGGAATTTGTAATCGCGGGAATTGTCGATTATTCGTAAACGGCTGGAATTTGTAGTTTCGAACAATTAATAATTCCCTTGCCTCGCTGGAAATTTACAACGATGAATAATTAGCGAATTGACACGCTAGCGAATCACTCTCGTTGCCTTTGTAATTTATTGCTGTACAGACGTTTGACGGTTGACGATCCAACAAGGAGAGTTTTATTTCAAGGATATTCCAATGACATACAGCGTAAATGTACAACGCGTGTTATACTGTTGCGGCCACGTTTTAATGAATAGTTCACGTAACACACGAACAATTTATAGGGTGTATATTCTATCAACGTGTGTAATGCTAAAGTCAACGCGTTACCGCTATTAAATGTTTACGATATAAACGTGGCTCGGTACACTCGTTATTCCGGTGTCTTTACCCGGCGTTAATTGTCAACGATTATATTACAGGCGGAACATCGATGGGAAAGGTTGCCTGATGAAGAATATCTGCGAGGCTGCGTCGATGACTTTGAAGAACGAGGGATTAATGGGAGAATTGTTGCATTTGTTGCTAACGTAAGATCAATTTCTTCTCCCTCGAACGGTAGACTTGTGGCGGATACGTCACTGCCAACAAGCCCTTACCGAACCTACTTTTCCACGCGAACTTACTCTTTTCCAACTCCTTCAGATTTTAGTTTCCGTTCTTTGGTCCCTCCCCGGGTTAAGACTCGCCTTCGTCCTCGAGTAGCCTAAGAAGCGCGCATGTGGCATCCAGGTTTGCACGAGGACGAACGGTCCCGCTTTCTACAAATTTTCCGTTTCCACCACTTTCTCTACTTCTCTCTTTATCTATCTCTACTCCTGTCTCCCTGTCCTAACAATATAAAAACCCAGTACGCCTACACCACCAGCTCAGTTTTTCCTTTGCCAACCATCGCGACGTACCTGCCGAACCGCTGCCGCAGGGACAATTAACGAATAAAACGATTGCATTTTCCAGACAAGTTGTACACCGACCATAGCACTTAGAGCTTAACAAATTGAGGTGAAAACAGTGCAACGGCGTTCCTCATCCACCTCAAACTTATGCATGAACGTTTGTTCAAAATTTCAAATTAATCGGATTAGTGGTTCCTAATGTATTCGCGGAAGTATTTGTTCAAAATCAGCTTGAATATACTATTAGCTCTATGCAAACGTTTGCATCGCTTGTAAATCGATGGCAGTAAAAGGCATTGTGCGTTTCCTTTCTTATTGAAATTTTCACAGTTAGTATTGTAGGAACCTAGGGAAAAATATTGAGGGACCCAACGGGAATCGAACCCGGGACCTTCGGCTTACCAAGCCGAGGTTTTGCGCGCTACGCCAACCACTCCCTCGCTATTCTCTCGTATCGGTTCTCTATTTTTGGGTATGGAGGCCCCGATACTACACTCGGCCATCCTGAACTGATATTCACCCTCGAAATGTCCTAAAGTTCAACACCTCAACAACTCAACACCTTTCGGGTACACTCCCCCACACAGTGGCACACAGCCGAAACAACGACGCAATTTGGGAGACGTGCAATCCTCGACATGTTTTTATCGCCCAACTCCTCCTGGTTTCGTGTAGCTGTAGATGCCTCCATCCCGGACGAGCCCCCATTTGTAGGAACCTAGGGAAAAATATTGAGGGACCCAGCGGGAATCGAACCCGGGACCTTCGGCTTACCAAGCCGAGGCTTTGCGCGCTACGTCAACCACTCCCTCGTTATTGTCCCGTATCGGTTCTATATTTTTGGGTATGGAGGCCCCGATACTACAGTACAATACTACAATTTATTCGATATAGTGAACATAGTATTAAGAAGTATATAGAATTAATTTGACATTATTGCTGTTCCTATTTTACCCCTTTCGCTACGGCAGATTTTAATGGGTAACGTGGGTGATTGACCGTAAATTTTTAACCACGGCTGCAAAATTTCTTACTTTGTCCTTATCGTTTCAAAATTCGGTTTATTAAATTAAGGTGGAAGTGCGTGAGGATGAAATAAAGTATTAAATTAAAATGGAAGTGCAGCAAAAAGCTCCAACAGTATAGTGCGAGCAAATTTTCAAAACGCCTATAGTAATGAAGGGGTTAAAGAAAAAAATACACAATCTCGAAAAAAAATACGATGGAAACTTTTGCATAGACCTAATATTAGGTCGTTCGGAAAGTTCTGTCTCAAATATTCATTACTCCGCCAAAAGTTAACGTATTCACTCAAAATAAAAATGATTACAATTGATACACCTTTGCCAACGTCCCACTAATTTATTTACGCCATCTATAAAGAAACTATGAGGTCTGGAATCAACAAAGTCCACGTCGCGTTCATTTCGAAGTGCTTTTTCCTAAAAAAATCGCCAAAATGTTTGAACAGATGATAATCTGTTGGCGAAAGGTCCGGAGAGTAGAGTGGATATTGTAGAATCTCATATCCCAGGTCGTTTAACTTTTGCACTGTAATTAACGATACCAAATGGTCGAGTGTTATCGTGCAAAAGAATCGGACCTTTTCTGTTGATTAGTGTTGGACGAATAACTGACAGCTTTCGATACATTTCGCTAAAACCATTGCAGTACATATTCGCCGTAATATTTTCTCACTTTCTCAAAAAATTATTCTAAATAATTCCGTCAATAGATCACAAAACAGATAGCGTTATCATTTTCGGATGTGCTTTAGGTTTTGGAAAGTGTCTAGGTGGTTCGTTAAGATCCAACCACTGCTCAGATCTTTTTCAATTATCATAAAATACCCAATTTTCATCGCAGTTACAATTCTGTGAAGAAAAGTGTCTTTGCTGTTCCTTAGAATATGCGAAGAGCAAACGAAGGCACGAAGCATTCACTGATTATTATCGAACAACTCGTGTGCAACCCACTTATTCATTTTCTTTGTCTCACCTATGTTTCGTAGATGATATAAATAAATTAGCGAAAAGTTAGCAAAGGTGTATCGATTGTAACGGTTGTTATTTCGAATAAATTCGTCAATTTTTGTCCGATTAACCCTAGAGCGGTCTTCGGGTCTTTTTTGACCCACCGCCTTTTTATATTTTTACTATTTTCTGCTTAACATTATTTTAAACGTTTATTGTTTAGGTTCATATGTCGTGTTGGGAATAAAAATTATTACACATAAGGTCTTGGGTCCTTTTTGACCCAAAAGTCTTAAGTGTACAGTCAAAATGAAGAACGCAAATGATTATTTGAATTCAGACGACGAAATCCGACAGAACTTTCCGAACGACCTAATATTTCAATATTCATAACTTTCTCAATTATTCGAACTTCTTCAAAATTCCCTCGCTCCCTTATTCCACATAGTTGAAGTTATTCAACAACGCAGAAAGAATAAATTTGTTTCAATATCACGATTTTACGCACTTAAACTGCTTATATACGTATATATTTCCTTTCAGCCCAGACTATGGAGATTTTCCCACAATGGACGAAGAATATTTAGAGGCAGCTAAGTCTGGAAGAAGGCACGAGAATTGTTCAACAATTTACTCCACCTGCCCACCTGGCCTAGGAATTTTGGACAGAATATCCACAATTTATTAACTAAGATGCATCGTCTTTTATTATTACACGTTCTCCCCTTCGTTGCTCACTTTATTGCCTCTGCCTTCTTCCCCGACCCAGATACATCCCTCAAGCTCTGCGTTACGTCACTTCCTTTTTTTTCTCTTCTCTTCTCTTCTTTACAGCGAAACGAATCTCCTTCTATCTTGCCTTACACACGTACACACACGCACGCACTAACATCGACACGGTATAACATTGTACATATTGCATCGACTTCGCGCCTCGGGTCAGTGATGCAATAAACGAGTTGCCACGTAATTTTCATCGCAAATTTCTCGTTAATTAAAGACTGACGCGCTAAATAATTTCAGCTCCTGGTTCGTTTCAGAAAATGAAAGACTCTTCTTTGATCTACCTCGATACACACACCTCTCCCATCCTCCCCGTTTCTTCGTCGTTTAACGTCTCATTTTCTTCTCTTGCCTGCCCCCGCGAATTCCTCGCTTGCATTAAAGGAGAGATTAATCAGCCAGAGGGAAAAATAAGAAAAGAAGAAAAAAAGATAGGAGAAGAGAAAAAAAAGAAAATAGAGAAAGAGATTAGGTTCATAAATACGTTTGCTAGACGTGCACTTATGTATGTGCATCTGTGTGTGTGTGTATGTGTAGGGGGGTTGAAGAATTTATTATTTAACGCTTGTTTATCGTTGTTTGTACAGGCTGTTTGTGTGTGTTTCGAAAGAAATCGCGGAATGCTTAATAAAAAGAAGTATATAAAAAAGAGTGGTTCTGTTATTGTGTATAAGGTAATTTGTGTTGAAATTGTAAGGTTGTATTAAAAAGGTAAAATGTATACTCGAGCACTGAAAGGGTTAATATCTGAAAAAGTTTCGCTTTAATCGAGCGCGTTTCACCGTGAAATCTCCGATCGCTATATCCGACAAGTCGGTCACCGTTCTTGCCAATTATTTCGTCGATTTTCATTCGCCTTCGATGCCAAATACAGCTACAGCTAAGCACGTTTGCCAAGTTTAATGAACTGCCCCGTTTGATAACTACCTATTTTCTGCTGTTTTCCAATTCTAAATCAGGTTCTCCCATTCCGTGATTTCACGGAAATTCGGACTATTCGAATGGGTAGAAATGGAATCGAGGGTTCCCCACTTCTGGAATATTAATTCGCGGCGGCAGACCCTTTATTTCAACGGAAAAAACAATCGAATTATCGTCATTGACCGGGTGAATCGACCGTGTGAGTTATGGCCCCCTGTCGCATGCACCGTTGTCGCCGGAAAATCCACTGGATTTAAGAACGTTTCGCGCGTTTTATACAGGGTGTTTCCGAAAATGTGGGCATAACTTCGGGGATAGACTCAGTACGCTAAAATAAGAAAAAAAGTTCATATGAACATATGCCCGATATAAGCTTGCTTCCGAATTATAGCTTTAGCTATAGCTATAGCTGAGACGTGAGACGTGAGACATGAGACGTGAAACGTGAGACGTGAGACGTGAGATATGAGACGTGAGACGTGAAACGAGAGACGTGAGACGTGAGATATGAGACGTGAGACGTGAAACATGAGACGTGAGATATGAGACGTGACACGCGTGACGTGGCGTGAAGTGAAGTGAAATTAAGTGAACGTCACGCTTGTCACGTCTCACGTGTCAGCTATAGCTATAGCTAGAGCTATAATTCGGAAACAAGCTTATATCGGGCATATGTTCATATGAACTTTTCTTCTTATTTTAGCGTACTGAATCTATCCCCGAAGTTATGCCCACATTTTCGGAAACACCCTGTATATTTTATATTTTTCGTGTTTATTTACATAGGATACGTAAAATAGGTGTATTTCCTGTACCAAACGTAATCTAAGCCGCTTGACTTTATCGACCCTGCATTCGTCGTACGAGGGTTAATCAATCCTCTCTTAACTTTGTTTACATACTTCCTCTCACCTTCTCGAAAATGAAATTTACATCGAATTATCCTTCTTAAAGTATTTTCTATCCAAATTTTAAAGTCCACCAATCGATCTGTGCGACAATTTCGATTAATCAGTCGTCTGTTAAGTTTGTGCTTTACACACTTCGTCTTACGTTACTAAAAAAAAAAAAAAAACAGGAAGAGGAAGGAAAATACCATAAGCTTGACTCCAGAGAAAGATGGAGCCAAGAGCAATTTAAATACAGCGAAAGTCTGGTTGGTTGAATTGGTGGGGGGCAAAGCACCGTTATCAATAACTCAGGGCAACGGTGTCTGTTGAAGCGACTCAATTACATCAGACGAAGTATCCCGTGCAGGCTGCAGCGGGAAGTTCGCGAGGACATCTTGGCTCAGGGCCCGACATTCACTGATTATGCGACTGTTGTTCTGGTGCATCCTCTGTTTCACCCTCATTACCGCGGGCAAACTGGAGGCCGCGGCCAGAGCTACCAGATCTTTGGCGTTCCGGAAGGGCAGCGTTTTTTTCGTAAGTATCGAAGCCTGCCAAGTTTCCCGACTCTTCCGGTGATCAAATCATTCGAATACCTCGTTAACTGTCAATCACTTAGATTACGAAGAGTGGCACATTTCATACGTCTTACGAAGAACGGCACGCCGTTAACGTGGTGGTAAACGTCAGTTTACCATGTAAAGAAGCACGTTTCATCGGTTCTTTTACGAACGTAAACACGTTTGGTTCTTTGTCGCGACAACTAATACATTATTTTGTTTCGCCACGAAGAATAGCACATTTTGGATTTCGCGGAGAAAACTAACACGTTTCAGTGTGTTTGGAAAGATTCAACCTTTGAAAATATTGTTTAATAAATAACAGCTCCATCTGATCTCCAAAACGAACAAAATTTGAAAATGTGTCTCACTCTCGAGAAGCGAATGAACTGAAGAGAGGTAACAGTCAACAATTCCCAGAATATCTAACTTCCTCGATAACAGTCGCGACGCGGACTCGAGTCTGCGTCAATTAAACGGGGAATACTGTATATTACGATCATATCAGGACAAAATTCTGATTAGGTCAGATTCCGTCGTATCTGACTTTCATGGTCCAAAGAAAACAAATCAAATCTTGTCGATTGCCGCGGTATAGAGCTAAACATCCTTTTTTCTCGTAGCCAACCATTCAAATGTGCTCTTTTTCGTCGTTACAAACGGTACCTGCTACTTTTCGTGGCAAATCACTCGAAACATGTTAGTTCTAGCAGCAAAAGACGGAACAGGCTACTTTTCGTAGACAACCATTAAAAACGTGCTATTTTTCATAACACATGTCGACTAAATATTTTTTCTTCGCAGAGAATGATTAATACCTTGGGAGATTAACGAAACGCGATATTTTTCGTGACAATGAAAACAAACGTGCTTTGATTATTCTTTACACCGTAGATACGAAACTTTCTGACTTTCGAAAGATTTTCTGTGAAAATTACGTTGATCGCTGGTTTGTCGAAAGGCGACTATGTTTACGGGTCGCGTCACGTGGTCCGCAAGGCATATACGACGACCAGAACTAATGTAAGCCAATCGTTGCGTCGTATCTTCGCCTTAAAAGGCGTTCCGTGCCGCGGGACGAGCTCGTTTCGTAATGCAGCGCATTAATGCGCGATGAAGTTACCAAGAGTAATTCGTGGATCGGGCTGAAACGTATCATGCGACCTGCCAAGTCGAATGCATTATCCTTGTCACGGTTACTTCGTGGAAAATTTAGCCCCGTAGTCGAGTCTTGGATAGAAACCTGGTTTGGAAAGTCTTGGTTCACCTGGAACCACCACGGAGTATCGTCTTTCTTGACTGCAACACCCAGGAAACTCTCGAGGAATTTGTTTTATCAATGCAATTTTTACGTGGTCTGATAAACAGAGCGATTCCACAATTTCCATGAGTAATAACATCTTTCACAAACAGCTCACCACTCTCTCTCTCTCTTTTTCTCTCTACTTCTCGTGAAAAATGAATTTTTCTTTCTCTAAGTATACTCTCCCCCGGTTCTGTTGTTTAAAAATGACCAAAAACATTGATCAAGTTCTTTTGAAGATGGATGAAGTAATGGAGTGCACGTTGAAAAATTAACCGTTTGAATACTTTTAAAGTTGGAATTCACTTGCAACAACAAATTATTCATTTCGCAATAGATAAATGAGGTAAAATTTGCCATGTACTGTACACTCACGTTCGTAAGTATTGGAACGCTTACCGAATGTGAAGCAAAACTAAACAGTCGTTGCAGAATTAACGATAATAACAGGTACATATATTTCTGCTGATATGTGGTATTAAATCTTACGAAGAAATGTAATTTAACCCTCTAAATACGGACCACTCGTCTCAGAGACGAGTCCCAATTTTTATTTCACTATTACAACTACTGTCCGACAAACCTAAAGTGAAGCCTCTGACGTCACACAGGGCCTAAAAGTGGGAGATGTAGGGGAACTTGCGACGGCTTCCTGTTAGTAAGCCAATAGGGATAGAATAAGGCTATCGCAGTTACACTTAGGTCTTCCCTTATAGTCAGCAAATAGGGATAGAATAAGGCTATCGCACTTACTCTTCTATGAACAATAGATGACGATTGGGTCTCGTTCGAGCAGTCGATAATTGATCGGAATGATATTTTCAAGCGCTCGAAAACAAATTAAGTTTACGTCGCGCAGACACCATAAACAGGCGAACAGATGCCTGCGCGACGCCAAACGACGTGTATCATGGTAAACTTAATTTTTTTATCCCATGTTCCCAAAATTTGTCTATTATTTCGATAAGCTTGTTTTACAGGTTAAAATTCAAGCAATCCAATGGTATTTTTTCCAAATTATTCTACGAGTGGGAACAGTGTCAAATTAGCAATTGAAACTTTAGCAGCGATTATTGCTATGTTTATTGCTACGAAATGAGCCCAAGGTCGAAATATTATCTTTAAACAAAGCCGGAATATTACGGTTAAAGTGACGACATGTCGTCTGATTTTGTCAAATTTGTCAAAATTTTAACATTAAATAGTAGCTGTTTGATGGCGTTTATTGGCTGTAAAAAGTGGCTGTCGGTCTGTGGTGGCACGCTATTTTTCATTGCAGCCAGAAATTTTTTAGCTCCTTAAGCAATTTTTTAATGCGCCGAAATCTACTTTTATTATTCAGGAATAGCAAAAACAATATTTACATTTCAGTTTTCTAACTGTTAGAAAATATTAATACATTTCCTGAGGCTTCCTTTACAATAACAATTTATTGTGTATGAGTCGCTTAGAAATTAACGTCTGCGCTATTAAATATATCCTACGCGCCAACATAGGTAAGAGGATAAGGCGACCAAATAATTTTCAGTTTTCCGTTTTTTTATCATCGACAACTGACTTAAATTCGTGTTCCTAAACCATTTACCTACAACGCAACTTCCCCTCAAGTGCCTGCAGTGTAAGACCCAAGAGTAGTGGGGATGACCTGAACCGCCTATTTTGCCTCCATTTTGCTAGGCTGTGACGTCAGGGGCTTCACTTTAGGTTTGTCGGACAGTACATACAGTAGCGCACACATAAGCTTCCGTCGCTATCTCTACCAATTCTTGGAAATGGGACTTCGGAGTGGAGTTCGAGCGTGCCGAGTGAAACAAAGTAATTCGATATCGACTCCTAAATGTGAACAACTGACACTTGATATATCGGTATCCCACTCAGACACACCTCCTCTCTTTTGTTTAGTTAAATTCGCAGAAGTCACCTCCCCACTTAAACGTCCGCAATCGGTTCCGACTGCGGACGCTTATGTGTGCACTACTGTATCTGGAGAATTTTGGGAGCTCTAGTGTTCGCACAGCAGGTGATAAACTATTACATTCATTTTTTCTATAACATTATAAACACACCGCTTTTTTTCTTCAAATATTTTCAAAAGCCTTAACAAACAACATACCGGGTGTCCCAATTTTTCCCGATCAAACTTTGCCAGTATGTTCTATGGGTATAAGTAAGAGAAAAATGTTATATGAACACAGGTCGTTTGAAGTTTCGTTGAAAAGTTAGAACAAAATACTGGTAGAAGTTACATTCAACACTTTCAACGACTTCAGATGGTAAACACAGCTCGCATAAACAGACTAAATGTATGAACATATCGCTGATCTATTCCTATTATGTATCGTAATAACCGCACACCCGTTACTGTTCCCTTTGTATTTCCTATTATTTTCGTAACTTTTTAATGAAGCATCAAACGACCTGTGTTCGTATAACATTTTTCTTTTACTTACACCCACAGAACATACTGACAAAGTTTGGAAAGTAAGCTTGGAAAAAATTGCGACACCCGGTATATTACAGAATCGTGCAACCTTCGTCGTTCAAAGGTACACACGAAAAGGCAGCATTTTTACAAAAATTTATTTATACAGTCATTGTTTCTATTATAGTACCGTTCGTTTGTTAACACTGGCATTACACCTAGAAAAGAGAATTCCCCCTTTTTTGTACACAAAAAGCATTCATGTTGTAATCTTTCATTGGCGACCGGCTATTTTTTCCTTCATCGATCGCGCGCTCGAAACTGAACCCTGACCCCGTCGATTTAATTAAGTTAATTAGTATTTAACTGACCAAATTACGCGCATTTTGGTTATTCTTGATTTACACGGTTTTTCATACAAAAAGTCATGATTTCGATTTACACGAAATGTATTCTGTCTAAGTTCGGGGTATAGGTGTATATCATTACATGAGATAGTTATATTAAATTACTTCCACAACACAGCGATTTAATAAATAAAATGACCAAAGTAGCCTGAGAGATTACACCTCTGTGGTAACGTCTTGCACATCAGATGTCTGTAGTTAAGGGCTAAATCGCACACGGTTACTCCGAAAAATATTCGGACAATAACAAGACAGCCATTAAACACGGCGTAGGCAAAAATATTCGTCACATTTAAAATATTATGCGTACAAATAATACGAACATTGAATTATCCCAATATTTTGACATAATATCAAGATATAATATTTAATGTCAATATTTGATATAATACGAAGTATTCCAATATCCACGAATTTGTATTACAAAGTCACACACAAAATGCATCAAACTAATCAAATGTAATTCTAAAGTACAAAGTAAATGTCAATCTTTTCATAATTAACTGAAATACATCACTAGAAAGACATGCTTCCACAGTGTCAAAATATTTTTCGGAATAACCGTAACGAATATAACGGGTGTCCTAATACTTCTGAACGATCGTTCTCCTTGTAATGTATCAGTGTACGAGGATTAAGCGAACCGAAAGGACAGGTATCGAATAAAATTTGTCATGGGAAATGATGCATACGTCTCCATGAAATTCTAAACGGAGTTACCGGTTGGTAATTGTTTACGATTTTCACTGCGAGCCAGGTTGCACCAGGTGCAGGCAGCTGTAGGCCGCATTTCGAGCCATTCCGCGTGCGCGCGCCAGAAGAATTATGCAGCCCCGCGATGATCCAGTGCACTTACGAGCAAGTGCAGCCTAGTATCGACGATACGGCCGCTGCACGTGCACTATGCGCCCCCTCTTAATGTACGAGACAGCGGCTGAATTTCAGATCACCGTTTATAAATCGATACACCCAGGCCTCCTCCTCCGCCCTCACTCTCTCTTCAGCGCAATATGCAGCGTGCAATAATAAAGTGCAAAAGTGCGCCATCACGTTGCACTTTATTCGATAACGGTGGTACCGAGTCCCGTCTATCGGTTACAACGTACATTTCCTCCGCTGGAAATTCATTATTTCTTCAACCAAATTAACGGGGACACGTATATCGAAGTGTGATTAATCTTCGTCTAATAAATTCGAGGATTTGTTTATTTTTTACGTTATTCACGTGACCGCAACGCGAGAAGAAATACGCAAGACGATATTGCAACATTGCAAAAAGGCAGGGAAAAGTCAGCGGTGACTGTAGAGGCCAAACGAAATTGAAGCGAACTGTATCGTGCGGAAACACCCCTGCAATTTATCATCGTTCCCTTTTCGACGGTCCTGAATACATTCATACGCTTGCCAGGAAATTATGCAACGCAGCGGGATACGATTCAACCTGTATGTTTATTACTGTCTGCCGTGCTGCTTCGAGATTCTTCCAGGATGTTCTTTAACCGAGCTGAAACTATCAATTCCTTTAACCTGTTAACGAGGCTGACATTTAACCTCGATTACTCCTCGTTAAAGTTCGAAAATCAATTTTTGTCCGTAGGTAAAAGCTGCGAAATTGAGGCTACTAACTCGAGGCAGAGGAATTAACGTATGGAAAAATCTTAGCTGGTTAAGAAAGGTCAGCGAAGAAGGAGGAACGAACGTATTCTCATTTTCAGTAGTACAAGTCAAGGAATAGGGAGTCGCCAAGGTGTTCCTTCGACAAACAACTTGCCAAACCCACTCGACACACCCTGTACAAGCTTCTCTATCGCTTACACAAATACATGTACCGTACACAGTCTAGCAGGAAACACCAGTACCACCTGCCTTGTCATTTTGTCCCAGACAGACCTCCTTGCTTTCGGATATGCAGTAGCCACGTCGAAAATGCCTGTGGTCGATCGAGTTTACCCTGTACTCACCAGTGTCGATTCGAAATTGAAATTTTAGCCAGTCTTTCAACATACGTGTCCCTTCTCTCCCCCTTTCGCCAATCTCTTTCTTTTTTTTCTCTTTTTTTTTTACGTCCACTTTGTTCCACTCGATATTGGAAACTGTGTGGTCCCTTGCCACGATATCGAAGCTTTCCTCAATTTCTGTTCTTTCACAAAGATAAAATTTCACCGACGTCCAAAACCTGCCATCTTCCATCATCCTCGTAGAAAAATCCTCGATCGTGAGCTGCAACGAAAGCCGCCGATCGATCTGATAGAGGGACTCTCGATTCCTATCACGTATCATCGCGTGCAATCAGGTCGGACAATCAAACGGCGCCGGTTCCCCGTGACCGTGACCGTTTCCATCAGCCAACTGTCCGGCAGCCATTAGCCTCTCCGGAACCAACCAACTGTTAACAGCAGCCCTCTGCTTTTCAGTACAGGGTGAATTACAAGATCACCACGTTGCCGAACTCGACCATCTTTGCACATGCAGCCGGTTTCAAGCTGGTATGGGAGCTTCCTAGTGGGGCTGCAGCTTTACGAAAGGGAAGGTCCGTATCTGACGTTCACCAGGCTGCGGAGCTGGTCTACGAAAGGTAATAAATAGTTCAATAGCCCGTGAATAGTGTAGGGGGATGGTAGCGATCGGTGGTCGAAGGTATGGAAGTCACGTGGAAGGGAATATTTGCAGTGTGTGCGTACATGTGCTTGTTGGTGTTGGATGTCTGGCTGATGGCTTCCTGTTTGGGTCATGGATCGGTGAATCGGCAATGCAGGATTGTCTTCGTTTTATTGCGTTATTTGGGAATGGTTGGGTATTTTCACGTCTCAATACACTTTGCGTGAATTCGTGAAGAAAATACTTTACTTCGACTTTGTTATACGCGTAGGAGCGAGAATTTGTGGGCGTGTTTAGTCTGGAGCAGGAGGCCACAGAGGCTTCTCAAGCTGGAGCAATAGAGGTGCCGGAGAAGAGTATTTGGGTCTGAGTACAAGGATTTGGGTGGACGTGACTGAGAATGTCTCCGAGGATATTCTGCGTAGAATTAGAGGAAAATAGCGAGAAATAGCGTGAAAGATGCGTGTGCGAGGTCAGAGTGGAAAATTCAGTGTGAAGAACACAATGATTTTGAGTGACGATAGCGTATACTTGTGAGGAATTGTATTAAGTGTAGCTGTACAGTTTCTATTAAATATATTTTATTTTAAATTACAACTCAGTCTCGGAAACCACAAAATTTACGTATCTATGTATAATACATTCTGCGCAAAGTGCATCGTTGGACTGCTTATGGTCGTGAAAGTTATAAACTTTTATAACACTTCAAGTAATTACATTACGTCAGGTATCGATACTTAATCCTCGACCAACACTCGTCACGACCCAACAAAAGTGGCCTTTAAAAACGACTTGGAATTCTAGTGGCTATTCCGCGGAGAAAGTCACTGTGGTCTAGATTGACAAATGTTTCTATTGGTTTAATTTGCTCCACAGACTGTGCCTGTTTTATGCCCCACTTAGGGCACAAAACGTGACACTTTCTCCTTGATTGTAAAATTTACCTAATGAATATTACAGCCACGGTTTCAACGGAAGATCTTGCCTATTGAAGAACATCTGCTCGGTGATGGAGTACGTGAGCCAGAGGGACGGTGTGCTGGCGAAGATATTAAAATTGCTGCTCGGGTAAGAGGAGTGCAGCATATTAACGTCGATCTAGGCGAACTGGCGCGTTAATCGTCGCTAATTTCAGATCCTACACGAGCAACAGCTCACCGGGGGAGCCTCTTTACTGCGACGTTCACGTCAGGAATTGCCCCCTAGAGTTGATCGGAATCGATGGTTTTATGGAGCAATAAAACCGGAAGAATCGAAGATAAGATCTGAATAACGAGGAGGGAAGTGTACGAAAAAGTCGAAATTGCGCTCGTCTAATTGAATTCCTTCCTATTAACCTCCACGTTAGCTTTTTCCTTCGATCGAGAAAAAAAGAAGAAAATTCTCCATAAATTTTTCATTCTCAATCTCCTGCAATATACCGCGTTCACTTCAAACTATCGCACAGCGAACACAAAAATTTCACGTTTCTTCAGCTCCAAGGTGTACCGAGCTGCCTCTTTTTAATCTCAATCAATTTTCTGTTCTATCTGCGTTTGAAAACAGATCTAAACACCGGTTTTCGCGGTTGCCTCGCGTGCAAATCTGAAACCGGAAGCGTTGACTATTCGTGGACGGATTTTCTGACGACGCGACAGGCCACTCACATTCCACGACAGAACAGTTATAATTGCATCCACGTTGGGGGTCTGGCGGGCACGCGTTAACGAAAAGCATTAATTTAGAATGCTCTGCGGTTTTCTTGCCAGAGACGAGAGGTGAGCGAGCGAGCGCGCGCGCAACTCCCATATGCAATTAACAGACGCTCGTTCCGCCGCTATGGTCTGCGAAATGAGGAAATAAGTGTCGCCCTGGTTGAAAAAGTGCTCTCCGTCTCTGTCCACCGGTTTTTCCAGAAGGGGTAACATTCTCCCCGGTGAAGACAGTATGAATTAATATAAGCGCGCATTTAAAAGTACAATGAGCGTGCGTTTCGTTTGCCCGCGGATGGCTCCTGGCCTATATTTCATACGAGCCCTCGTCTGTCTTCGTTTTGATCACCGTTGTCATTCCGAATAAAATCTTTTATGTATACAGAGTACACTTTTTATTTACCTTATTTCAAATATCTTCTTTTTCTTCTTTTCCCTGATGTATTTTTAATCTTGTCGCACTTGGATGTATTTTCCATTAATGCGTTTTCTACGCGTGCTATGTGGGTCACTGGATGTTCCAAATGAAATTTTAAATAAGCAAATGAGCTAGTATTTCTTCTCTTTTTGATACGGCGTTCAAAGGAGCAAAGTATTCAGAATTTTAATTAAATATGCTAATGGTAACGACAGTCGGTCTTGATATTTTTTTACCATTAACCAGAAAGAGAATCTCGTCGAGAGTGGTATCGGTTCATTAGACGTTGGAATTCTGGAAGGAAACAACACGCGGAGAGGCGAGGTCACGACAAGTATCAAACAACGGCCTAATCTTTCGTTTACAGAACAAATTTTCATCGCGTACCCACAGCCAGTTCATTAGACCCGTGGATAAACATGGCTAACTCCCGTTGTTCCCGTTACATTCCGCTGAAAAAAGATATTACCTGCTGCTCGAGATATGTAGCAGTTGTTCAGTGCGGAACACATATCAGCCGTGTTAAAATCATTCTCTCATCTTCGTTTGGTTTTTACTCTGGTTCACCGGTAGTGCACGCGATTCCGACACTTTCCCTTTCGATGTGAGGCTAACCGTGTGATAGGTGATCGCATGAGTGCCAAAGGACGAGTTGCGGTTGCTTTGAAGGGATGCAGGGCGTCCGAGGTCTTTGTTTCGTCATCGTGTACCTTGATTTTTGGACGAGTTGGGCTATGGGGAACGCGATAGAACAATCGAGGATCTTATCTAGACAGAAGAGGTACTTAATTTTCCCAGAGGGCAGCAATTTGCAGGTAAAGTGAACAAAAGAAAAAAAATGAAGAAAATTGTTATTATTTATTTGGTTCGTTAATTTTCATTCCTTCTTCGTTACTTCTATTTTATTCCTTAATTTTCACTCTTATCTGTCAGTTGGTGTACTGTCTGACGGTGGGAACATTCGCCAAAGAGAACGACGTAGTGATGGGAATGACTGCTGCCTTGGCCTGGGAGTTACCCAGCAAGGTCGACTCGAAGATATCGGAATTGCTTCATCGCAGTAGCATGCTGCAGTCGTGAGTAAACCAATCCTCCACGAACTTCTCCTCCCGTTCCTCCCAATCCTACAGACGTTCTCCTTGCCCCTCGAACTCGAAGAAATCTAAATCTTTACAGAAATCTGATCTATCGTTCTCTCTTCCTTCCGAAAATTCTTATCTCCTCGAATTCTCGTTTACTCCACGCATGGGAGATCTTTGTTACGGCTGTTTACTCTACGAGACTCCGCTATCGTTGACCCGTACTACTTGCAGCCGCGGTAGAGGCAAATTAGCCGGGAAATAAGGTGTCAAACCGTCAAAGAGAAAACCCAAGGATCTTCACTCTCTCTCCTTCTTTTTTCCTCTCTGTTTTGTGTTTGCATACAGCGAAAACTCGCGTCCCATTCGTCCCCGAAGCGTGATATAACATGCAAATGGAACGCTTTTTTTCTCGGGTCAGGCAGATGCAAATGCGCGCAGGAATTTTCATGTGAAACGTGTGAGAATAACGAAACAGGAAGACGTCTAGTTTGATTCCGCCTCCCTTTATATAACGAATTCCCTTTCTTCCCGTGATTTGTATTTACATCACGGCTCTGGCAACATATTAGACCCGTGGATATTAAATAAAAGCACGGGTAATAGGTTGAATTATTCAGTAGATCGCGAGGTCTTTATTTCTCTCTCTGTGTACTCGTACTTCTGTATGAAACGTAGTAACGTTTGATTTCGGCGTTTGAGAGTTGGCGAAGGGTTCTAGAGAGGTGTAGTGTCAAGGAGAAGATTATCCTTCGCGCTGGAATTTAATTAACGCCACTGGGAGCCGTTCAGACGATTCGATTGACATTCTTAGACGTGTTTACTCGAGGAGTCTGCTTCAGTGTTGTCGCTCTATCGTTAGGAACACCGATTTCACGTGATATATAGGGGCGGTGATACGTCATCTACCACAGTTTCACGTGTTCACCACTGAGAAGTAATTATTTTAAATGCAATTTTGTTTATAGGACTGGCCTGGATGGCAAAGCTTGCG